CTCTGTATTATTATTAATTTAGTACCGGTATAACTTATAATATAGTCAATATTATAGACCTAATATGATAATAAATTAATTCTATTTTATTTCACTATTCAAGGTCTAGGGTAAATAAATGCCCAACGGTTCCTTTGAGGACTGATAATTAAGATAGCAATCCTGATTGAACAAGCCATCACTGCTACTCTATACTAGATATTGACTCTGAACTGAGTCAATCCCAAGCTAGTGGCTAGTGTACTGGAGTTCTATCCCCAGAAATTGCCTAGACAAGCAAAAACATCACCAGCATGCCGGGTAGATGGAACTCGTTAACTTTGAATGGCAACTCAACTTGGAGAAGGAAAACTATGAAATCAAACCCGGAGATGGAGACCCGTAGACGTTATGACATTGACTCAATGAAAATTCTGACAAAATCCTATGACGTAGAAAGCATAAAGAGCATAGTGAAACACACACACACTCAATCTGGTAATCTACAGCATCCTGATCTATATCCAGTCGTCTTGACTAATCTTACCATTGAATCAAATAGGCAACGACGAGAGAGTGGCTCTGGCGAATTGAGAAACTCTCCCTAAATTTCAACAAAATACAGCTCACGTCAAGGCTACTGCTCCAGTCTTAGGGATCTTTATGTGTACAGGACAAAACAAAAATACTGTAAATATATGAAATTTATTTGCAGGACAGTTCTCGGATGCCATGAAAATTAGGGGAAAATGATCAATGATAAACAACAATCATCTGAGTCTTCCTCTAGTTCAACTTCAGTTTTTTCACCTTCCTCGGGTGTCCACTTTTGCAACTTCCTAGTCAAGCTCCTAGGTTATGTGTATCTTTGGAAATAAATATGACTTACTTGTGAATAAAATGGATTATCTTATAACTTTATAAGTTGTTTGTTATCCAACATCAAGTGCATCTTATTCTTATAAAAAACCAAGTTACTCAATTGTATGTGAACTCGGGGCCAGAATATCTATACCGGTACATACCTAAATCAAATAATTGTTATAGCATTGGCAATCCTTAGAGAGAGTAAATACCGGTACTATATAAGTGCATTTATGTCCTGTTACTACAAAAAAATTGTATAAGCGTATAGGGTCTCTCCGTTTTTTACTCTTTAAAAAATGTCCTGGAATTTTGTATTTTCTCCTGGAAAACTCCTGGAAATCTCCTGGAATTTGTTTTTAGATT